TGAGGTTACAGGCCTAAGACCAAAAGCCTCTCATGCGAATGGCAGAATGCAGAGAGAAAAAGAGCCAGGATAACCTTGCTGAACTTCTTTACTCAAACCTGGAAATGCCTTCTTCCCAACTTTTTATTTCATGAGAAAATCAGAAGTCAGTTCATTAAGCCAGTGCTTCTCCATCCTGTCTAGTCATGGCGCACATAGGAAATAATGTGCATGTCATGCTGATATAAATGGACAAGCTGCTTGCAGGCAGAGGTGACTGGCCCAGAGACTTTGGTCACCTTAGACTCTGCCCAGCTGCCCCAAAGGCTGAGGGAATCAATAACTTGGCCGTATCTGTAACCCATTTATGGCATATAAGTGGCGGTGCCAAATCAATTGGGAAGTTCTGCTTAAGCCACTGAAGGTAGGGTGTTCTGAAATTTGCAATAGAAAAATCCTCACTGACAATATATACTTTTTATGAGTGGAAGGAGAGAGGGATAGAGTGATGGGTGGATGGATGAAACCTGATCGTACACTGGTGGTAAAGTTTAGAAGTTACGCCATATTCAGAAGATCCTGGTAAAGGTGTCTCAGGATAATACAGGAGATAATGGAGGTTTCATATGAAAAGGAACTTGTTTTTGCTTCTCTCAATACTTCTCATTTCATTATTCTCTCTTTATGAAAACTGGCTTTCTGTGCTATTTATGCCAGATGGCAGGGTATGACTGCCCCAACCTCCTTGTCCTAATGAGAATGGGCCCACACTCACGGACTAGGCTTCTTGGGTTTAAAACCTAGCACCGCCACTAACTTGCTGTGTAATCTGTGCTAAGTTACTTAACCTCTCTGTGCCTAGATTTCCTTATCTCTAAGCTGGTATATACCTCAAAGGGGATGTGGAAATAAATCCATTAAACTATGTAAAATAATTTAAAACAGTAAGCACTATATAAGTATTAGCTATTGTTATCTTTGATTCCTAGGCAACAAAATCCCCAGTCAGGGCACATACAAGAATCAGCCAATGAACGCATAAATAAGTGGAACAACAAATCGATGTTTCTCTCTCCCCTTTCCCCTCTCTCTAAAAATCAACAAATAAAAAAGAAATTTAAAACCCCCCACATGAAACGGTAAAAGAGAAAACAAGAATAGTTATTAAACATTGAAGATGCTCAATTGTACTGGTGATTGGGGAAATATAAATCATAACCATAATGAGAAATTATTTTACACCCCCTCCCCCCACACAAACATGCACCGGCAAAGATGTGGAGCAAGGAAACTGTCTTACACTGCTGATAGGAATGAAAATTGTTATAACCAGTTTAAACAATTTGGCCTTCCCAAATAAATTTGAACACATACATACCTTGAGACCCAACAATTTCACTTCTACATATATATTCTAAGAACACTTGCACACATGCATCAGGAGAAATATTTAATAATGTTCATAGCAATGTTGTTGCAGTAGCAAAAACTGGAGCCAACCCAACGTCTGAAGGTAGACTGGATAAATTATGATATCTTCTTACACTGAAATATTGTATAGCAGAGAAATTGAATAGCCAAATCTCAGAAACAGAATGCCGAGTGAAAAAAGCAGGTTGCATAGGAGTCACACAGAATGATTCCATTAACAAAAAGTTCAAAAACAGGCAACACTGAAGAATGTTGTATTTGGGATACTAAATACATCTATAAGGAAATTATTACCACCAATTTCAGAATAGTGGTTTCCTCTGGAGGAGAAGGACAATATGACCATGGAAGGGCATGTGGAAGATTTCTTGAGTGGAAGCCTTAGCAAGGGCAGCTTCAGGGGGGAGCAGGGATAGAAGCCAGAATGGCGGGCTGAAGGATGAACTGAAGCTACCAATGTGAAAGATAGCTAGTACAGCCAACTCATTAAAGAAATGTTGCTGGAAATTGGAGCAGATTATATTCTCACAAAGCAGTTAAAGTTATTGGCGGAGCTGACTTCTTTCTCACGAAGCAGAAGGAGGGGTTGGGGGGGCAGATTTGTGAGGCTGACTGTGATTGAACTGAGCAGAGGGGTGAGAATAGAACTGCAGACTGGGAGCCCTTCTCTATAGAGGAAGGTTTAGGAGTCTCTTTTCATTACTTGCCCAGAAACTGTGTGCCCACTTGGAGATAAGCAAGCAAGATCTCTAAGCAGCTCTCATGCATTGCTTGCTTTGGCATTCATGAGGTCCCTCTTCCAGGAATTCCCATTCATCAAGGTCTGGGAACAAATGCAGACTAGTCAGCTCCCAAGAGCTTGCCCATATCTTACAGGCTGGCTTGGCTGTTCTGTTCCTTTCAGCAGAATTAATGTGCAATTGCTCTGACTGCCCATAAATGTAACTTAAAACTCTATCTCATTGCCACTTTATGATGATGTTATAAAAGCCTCCCACAGGAATGGAACACTGTGGATCTTGGAAAGTTTATTCAAGGAACTAGCTAGGAAAAGTCTTTAATCTCACAAAGCATTTTAAGAAGAAATGATCTGGTTGAAAGGTCATGTGTACATACCTTGACTTTGGGGGTTTCACCTAGAAATCCCTGGTGACCTGCAGGCAGAGAAATTGAGGTACTGATGGGCAGGGGAAGGAAATGCATTCTCTTAATAGCTCTAGATGGGGGTTGACAGGGGTGGGGATCAAATCTGAAGAGGACCCAAGGACACTCAGAAGAGAGGTTCTGCGCTCTGCCAAGTAAAACTGCAGCTCTGACTAGAGGGTAGGGGAAGTTCCAAAGCACTTACCCTTCCCTGGTATGGGTAGGGAGGGGCTTTTTGGATTTTCCCTGCCTAATGCTCCCTGAAGGAGAGAGGGAGACAAATATCTTAAGAAAAAGGAGGAGATCATCATGTTTCTTTCCCCCTAGATACCAGGCCTATTTCAGAGGGGATAAGAAAAATAAGGTTCAAAATAAGCTTGTCCCAAACCTCAGATGAGACCGAAGCGCCCCTCTAGGGTTTCAGCTCTATAACTGGAGAGCAGATACCTGCCCTGCTTCTTGAAAAGGTTAAATGAGGTCCCATTCATTCATACATTCACTCAACAATTCTTTATATATTATTTTAATTTTTTCAATCCTCACCTGAGGATATTTTTTCCATTGCTTTTCAGAGAAGGGTGGAGGAGACACATCGATGGGAGAGAGACACACCGATTGGTTGCCTCCCGCAGGCAGTCCCTGGCCTTGGCCAGAATCCAACCGGGACCCTTCGGTCAGTGGGTCCAAAGCTCTAACCACTGAGCCAAACCCTCTAGGGCTCCACAATAATTTATTGAGTGCTCACTATGTCAGGAACTCTTCTAGATACTGAAGAAGTAACTGAAGAACAGACAAAACCAGAAGGAGTTGATGGTATGACAAGTGTGCTTTAAATAGTCAGGAAGGCTCAGCGATTTTGCCTGTTCCATATGGATGGTTCCGTCAAGCTGTTTGGTTAAAGGCTTCCTTCCCCCCTCCAGCCCTCTGGACCACTCAGCATTGCTGTTCGCTACCTTCAGTGAGTTCGGTGAACTGGGGGTACATTGAAATGTCCACTTGGCCAAGAGTAGAGGGATGGTTTCTCCTCCCAGCTCCCCTCTCCCTCCAATAAACGCCTGGCAACCCCTGCGCTGAACACCTCGCCGTGCCGCGGCCCCCCTTCCGCCCACTTTGTAGAGGGGACCCCTTCGTCAGGGTGAAAGGGGGAGCGGCCCCAACGGGAGCGGGCTGCAGGCCAGGGCCTCGGGCTCCACCTCCCCCGACGCCCCCTGGCCGGCCGCTGCGGGGCGCTGCGGCCCCAGCGTAGG